GATAATACTACACTCGAGGTCACCAAAGTGGGTGAAGAGGTATCAGTTGGCGAGGTGGTGGTAACTGTGGCGTCCACTGAATCTATTTGGGAAAAGGAAACTTCGGGAGTGTCCGGAAGCAAAGAATTTGTGGAGCAAAACACGTATGAAAATATTACCGAGGTGAATCAGGACCCATCTACGTGGGAGTTGGCAGATGAGACACATTCCAGCGAAATGAGCGCACAGAGCAAATCATCGGATGTACTTTCATGTGAACAACCTGAGAAACACGAGAAAGCTGATATTGATGAGACCAAATTGAATGTAGGAGTCTCAGCCAGCGACGTTCCTAATATCGCAGCGTGTGCTGAGCCTGCTGAGCGAAAGGAAAAGCCAGAACAACCTGCAAGCAAAACGCCTGAGGAAGAGAACTTAAACGACTTCACCAGATCGCAGCAGGACGCACCTGCATTCGAGTGGCCGGCTAGAGCTTTTTCCAGAAAATTAAGCTTGCAATTCAGAACACCCGATTCACTTGCGAGCGAAAAACCTTTCTGTGGCGATTCCGATAAAGATAACGCGAAGACGTTTGTGAGTGAGCTTCCGAAAATATTAGTTACTTTTGACCCGGACGACAATACATTTGAGGAGTTTTTGAACGAAAAAACATCCTGGCCAGGGGCGAGTGGCACTGGAGTTACGACTAATGCATCATTTGGCGAACTTTCAGGAACTGTGGTGTCTACGGAAACCAGTGCGCCATGTGAAACACCGGAAGTGTATGCAAGTGAATCACATGCGAACCAACACATTACGAAAGCAGAACTCAACATGTTTGAACCAGGTGCATCGGTAAGCGAGCCACCAGAGACTACAGCGTTAAATGAAGCGAGCGTTGAAAGTACAGCGTCTGGTAAATCGTCGTGTGAGAAAACTCGGGACCATATTAATGATAACTGGAACGCCACTACGGAGAGGGATATATCGGTGAGAGTGCTGTCAGAGATTGTCACAACCTCCAATGAAGCTGTCACTACAATGTGAGAGTCCTGAAGAGTCTGCAAGCGAAGAAGCTACGCCCCAGGATATCACTGACGATGCTTCCGAAGTGAAGGAAGAGATTGAAGCAAGCGAATTTTCAGAGGTCACAATGACTGATAACACGAGCTTTCAAAATACACCTGGGAACGAGGAATGTGAAGAAATAACAAAAGAAAGCAGCGGTGACAATGGCGTCATTAAAGCGAAGGTAGAAACGTCGAAAGAGTTGCCAGATATCACAGTGTTGGATGAAGAATGTGTGAAAGATAACCCAAGTGAAGACAGTACGAGCGGAAAGCCTGTCAACAACAACACCAGTAACAAACAAATTGACAATTTGGACGCAAAGACATCTGAAAGTGAATCGGCAAATGTTGCAGTTGGTATTGAAGTGACCATACAGAGTGAGACAACAAAAACTCTTACTGGTGGAGAAGTTGTGCGACAAAGCGTCCATGATGATAACGGTAAAGCGGAGAAACAGATGTCATCTAACGTGCTACGAAATTTCACAGAGCCTGATAAATATAGCGTGCAAACGGAAACATCTAACAACCTTGCAACTTTTATTATTGAGAACGAGGAACCCCAATGGTGTTGCAACTACAGAAGACAAATCAGAGACTGCAGATATGGGGTTGTCAGATATCCTGCCACCAAACGAAGATTCATCACTGGATATCGCGGCCCAAAAATCTGCGAGCGAAGAAAATTTACCAAAGACTAAGAGAGATGTTGAAATCACAACAATCAAGGAGAATATGCCAATAAGCAGAGTGCCAGAGATCAGTATGCCTAGCGAACCCATCTGTCCAAGTAAATCGCCTCCCGAGCTGACAAGTCATGTTGGCTCCAACGAAAGCATCATTATTCAAGAAATCACTCATGTGAATGCAGGTAAATCCGCAAAAGAGACGCCAGAGGTCGCAACGCCAAATGAAGCAAGTGTGAAAATCGGAGTAACAGAAACAACTTACGAGCAAGGAAAATTCACACCGAATGCGTGTCGACAACGAACACATCAAAACAAAGCTCAAGACATCAGCAAGTTTCTTGCCAGAGATCTCAGAGTCTGATAATGAGAAAGTACAAACGCCTGACGAGCTGCCTAGCGAAAAAACTGTGACCGGAGTGGCCACAAGGAACCTCGGCACAGCAGGCTTCTGGAACGAGGATGAAACGATGAAAGGCCCTACGTCTGATGACCCCAACGAGAGTCACTCTGAAGTCGTCGAGGCTTGCCTTGAAATCGAAACACAAGAGGATAAAAATGAGAGTATCGTTGCGGATGGTGTCGCTGCACAGAGAGCATGTGGAAGCTGTTAGAGAGCGTACAACAGCTGAAAAAGCGACATCGCGGAAGAGGTTCGCAAACGCAGACTCGTGCGATGAACTTGATGAAGACAATGAGACAGCCAGCACAGGCGCAGAGAGCGTGCAAAGCGATACAATGGAACTGGTGCGCTCTGATGATGCAGGCGCATAGCGACAGCATCGAAGAGATTGACAAGGCCTTTAAAGACATCACTGGAGGCAGCCTTGAAGACACTACAAATGAATACGTACAAACGAATGACTCGCGGGATGTACATGTTTTGAACGAAAAGCGGGACAGCAACCGAGAAGAAACCATGGGAACAATTACACATGACACGTCAGCAGAGCAGTTATCCCTCGATGATTTCGCTGAGGATACGAAGAAGCCTAGTCGACAAACGAGCACTTCAGGAGGTTGTGTGCAGGAGACGGTCGCTGAAAAATTCCGTGAAGCCACCGAGGGTCACCACACAACCGAGCTTGCAAAATGTAGCGAAGCCGTTTCAAATAGCCTTCTTGAGGGGGCAGATGGCGGCACCTCGGAGGCTCCCAGTAAGGGTGGGTACGCGCACACGCGAGCGCCTGAAAAAAGTTCATCCGAAGCAACAGAAGGTCGTGTTATTACAGCTGAACAATTTGCAACCGAAGAGCTTGCTAACGTCACCGACAAATTTGAAGTTCCTGCGAGGCTGACAACTACTCAGTCAGAAGCAGGGAAAAGGGACGTGCTCGCCCCTGAAATTTCCGCAATTGAAAACGCCGTCAATGCCTCAAAGCCCAGCACGGCTGAAGCGTATAATTTATCTATTGCAAGTCGTTCACTGAACTATCATATTGCACGAGAAACCAAGGACGACAGGTCGTCATTACTGGCGTATGCAGAGGAGGTTGTGTCAACCGTTCTGTCAATGTGCGTAACATATCTGGAAGAAAATGACCAGGAATGGAGGACAGCAGGGCTGGCGGGAAATCATTATTACGAATTGAACACTGACTTGAAAAGCACTTATAAACAGAAGGAGAAAGCTGTAAAAGCTACTTTGGGGGATCATGACAAAGAGCATGGAACGTCTCCTGCACATTCGGATCACCCAAACCAAGGGTCCTCTGGTGGCGACGCCTTCGAGTCGATTGTTCCGAGACAATCTGTCTTTAAGGAAGTGGTACCGCTGGCTGACCTTGATACAAATTGGGACCCGAACCAGGCAACGCCAATTATTTCAGTTCTAGCAGAAAAGGCAGAGGGTCCAGACGAGTTGCTCAGTTCTACACCCATGAGTGAGGTGGAAAACGAAGCAGTCAGCGCGGCGCCTATTGATGAAACGGCAACAAACTGCAAAATAACAGAGAATGCTGAAATCGGTGTTCCACTGAACAGCTCAGAAGACGCGGGTCTGTCGCGAGTAACCGAGGAGGCAGCACGATGGCGATGCTATTGACCACACAGTGAGTGTCTCCGAAGCGTTAGCTGCAGACGCTGGATCGAGTGAGAATCAGAGTTCCACTTACGGAAGGAATAGTAATCCACTTCCAGACCAAGTTGCAGGGCAGTCTGACCAATCAGAGAGGATGCGGAGGGAAGAAGCAAAACCAGTGGCAGCAGGGGTAGTCGACTGCAGCCAGCTGTGAAAGACCCAAAGAAGTGCCAGAGACATGGCTAGATTCCGTTCGAGAGTTGGAACAAGGACGAGAGTGAAGAACCTGAGCACAGAATTGTTACGATGGAACCTTTAGAAAATCAAGAAAGTCAGCTGAACGAATCCTTGTTTACGGAAAGTGCAGCCCGTGTCATTGAAAAGAGCTCCGGACGTTCACCATCCGAGATCAAAGAACGGAGCGGTGATCAAGGTGAAGAAACGGGAGAGGCCGAGCACGAAACGGCAGCCCACAGTTTTAGCGAGTCTTCCTTGACAACAGTTTCTGTGAAAACAGAAGATCGGGAGAACGCTTGTCGTGAGTATTCCACGACAGCTAGCGAGCAGGAATCAGGACACTGTTCCTGCCGACGAAGTAAACAAAGACAACTCCGGTGCTTCGAACATATGTGAGGTTGATCTGGAGAGTGTACTGAATAACCAATTTAATGAAACACGTTCACTGAGTACACAACACACTGTGGCCGGCTCGAATAACAACACTGAAGAAGGTCACCAAGAAGCTGCAAAGTCAGTCAGAAACCTTTCAAGAACCAACAAGGCAATTCGTAATTCCCCGTAATGCAGAAGGTGGCCATGAGGAATGCGATATCAGGGAAGAAGCTAAGAAAATCATTGTGCCTGACAGCCTCGACATGTCTTCGCAACAAAAGTGTACGCAAGTGACTTCTAATAACGAAGAAAACAAGACAAGCGAACTTTGTGTTGATACAAACTATTACGGCTCCGTGAGGCAAAACGAAAGATATATTTTCAAGAACGAAAGTGTGACGGCAGTCGACAACGACACGGAGAGTTTTGGTGCTCTGAGCACTGTGTACGAAAGCTCGCTGGAGTACGTTAGGTCTCACACTGACGAACACATTAGTGATAGCGAGTTCAGCACGACTGTAAGTGGCGATTATGACACTGTTTGCGAAGCAACGAATTCCAAAACAGTTTCCTTCAAACGTAGCACGGAAATCGGTGATGTGTTCGAAATAGACAAACAGAGCGACGAGCAAAAGACCCAACAGAACTTCAAGGAATCAGTGCACTTTCTATCTAATGCCGGTGGTGAAAACGAAAGTGTTCGGGACGTCGCAAAGGCGATGAATGACCCAGCAGTAGCCCCGGCCTTCGTTCATGAAAAACCAGCTGATGCGATAGGCAAGCATGTTGACACCAATTATTTGATTGCTAATGAAATACAATAGATGCCCAAAGGAAAAAAGAGACGAATGTTTCAGAGGCCTCTCACGGCTGGGAAAATACAGGAGAAGCCAGCAAAAAGACCGCTGCAGTGATTAAAGATATGGGCGTTCCACTTCGATCACGAGAAGTGGTCGAAAAACAAGACATTCTGCAGTCTAACAGTTGTCAATATGTAACCAAAATACTTCAGATGAAAAGGCACCACGTGGTCTCAGAACTAGAAGCCTGGATGAGGAGTACACGAAAAGACATGAAAAGGAGCAGCATGGTCTCAAAGCAAGAAGCTTGGACGAGAACATAAAGCAATACGCTACTGCAATCAGGGACGACAGCAGGGATAGTGTCATTCCGGAAGTACACAAAACCAATATTGCAAACACTCACGAGTCGCTGCAGGAAAATCGTATGGCACCGGAACAAGATGAAGTTGCAAGCATGGACTTCTCCGACGAAGACGATCGTTCTCTAGAAGACATGAAAGCGCATGAGGTCGTCGTTTCTGTGGACGTGCATGAAGTACCAATACTTCATAACTGGGACGACATAGAATGTACTGAAGCTGCGAAGGAAATGCACGTGGGAAAACCTTCTTAAACTAGTCGTTCTGTAGTAACTACTACAGAGGTAGCCAGCAGAGAAGACAAAATGGCACTGAAGAAACAAATCCTACTCAGCAGAATGTAGAAGTTCAAGGGCAAAAAGCTGAATTTGGTGCCAACGACCCCTAGTGCGATGGCCACTCCAGACCAAGTTAAGAATTCGAATGCTGAAGGCTTATCTGATCAACTACAGCGGACCATTGGAGCTATAAAAACGGCAGTGATGGTGCACGATGAAACGAATTCGGAAGCTCTGGAATGCAGTGAAGACCTTCTGCAAAGTGTGGCCACAGAGGCAGACTTTCCTAGTGACATTTATGAGAACGCTGATGATGACACTGACGGTGGCATTGGTGACACCAACGGTGAACAACCAGCAACGGGCCTACGAGCAGTGTACGGATGATGTTTTGATAACGCACAAAGATCTGCGAGTATCCACTGAAAAGCACGATTGCCTTGACCAAGTGGATGCATCGAAGGAAGTTAAACAGCGTGGTGAGGACACAGAAGAACAGCACAAGAGTTCGTCCTACTGACACTTGTCGAAGGCATGAATAGTGCCCGACCACATTCGAAGCCCATCTAACAAGTCAAGCACCGAAAGTGAATCAGTGTCACAAGAACAAGACATCGTGTCAAACGGTGGTTTGAAATATGCCGTACAAGATTTTACTAGGTTGATTTCGTCAGACTGGTAACGACATTCAGACCTCCAAGAAGAAAGGGAGATGAGAAGAGTAGAATTCACGATGCAGCCGATGATAACGTTGATGCCAAAGCTGCCGAAGCTGAAGGGGGTGAAAAAAATGGGGAGCATAAGGCAGCCGATGACAAAGAAGACCGCAAGGCCGACAAGGACGATCAAGAGGACAGCCTGAAGACGGATTCTAGCGAGAGCTTCGACCTTTCAGCTGCGGGCGCAGGAGACATTGATAGCGGCTCAGGAAAGGTAAAAGAGAATACAACCCACAATGTCACTGAAGCCGTCGAACAGTCCGAACGAACCGAAGGTGGAGCCACCGGAGACCAAGTCCGATCAACCAGAATATTCCAGAAGACCATTAGGCGTACCGAATCCACTCGAACTGTGCGTAAGACACGTTCTTTCTTGCCGTACACGAAGTGGATCAGGCGTGAGGCTCGCCAACGAGATCGACAGGAGACGCGGGACGAAGACGATGCCATGGAACCCGTAGAAGAGGCGCTCGTAGTGCCTTACCAATGCTTTCCTGCGATGTCGATTCCTCGGATGGGCCTTTGCCCGATGCCCGAGTCGTCTCCCAGCAACGTATGCAGCGTAGCTGTCCAGGCGTTCCCGAGCGTCGTCGATCAAGGGGTGCAGGTCGAGTTTGACGAGCCCGACTGCATCACGAGGCTTGTAGAGCTCCAAATCGTAAGTGTATTGTGACATTCTACAGTGTATTTGAAGCGATTAGAGGTTGTGAAGAAGAAGAAGAAGAGAAAGTGTTCATTAGAGCAAGAGAGAGAGCCAATCTTAGCAAGTATATTTTGGCAGAAAATGCTTCCCTCAAAGCAAGCGACTTTAAATAATTTTTTCATGGATAACGAAGGCATCAGCACCCGTTCTTCAATCTCACAGTAACTGCATGAGCCAAACTCGGATTACTTCTAGAGGTTTAACAATAGATGCGGCAATCAGCATTTTGTGGCTTTGTTTTCCGGTCATGCATTCTAGAAGTTGATGGTTGCGCATCGAACGTTTTAGCACAGCAGCATTGTCTCGCTGTTTCATGTCAGGATGGCATGCCTCGAGTCGCAATGGCGTTTTATAGCATGCCCTAGTCGACAACAATCTTGGGGAAACTACTCGCACTCATAGCCAACACTCATATGGTCGAGCTTAGGTTATTCGATGTGACTGTGCATCTTGCGTTTACTGACTTGCCAGCGTATATATAGTGGCGTAACGCTTGATTGAGCGCCGTGCTGTACGGGGCCTGCTGTTGCTGTCGACACTAAAATAATGTTCGGATTTGTATTCTCGCCTGCATACGTAACAGAAATCTACTGCTGTGCTTCTCAGGCCATGAACGAGCAAGAGGAGGTCCGTCGTCAAGACATGAAAGCTGCCTGTGAACTTGTCGAAAAACTAGAAGCGATGCAGCTTTCTGAGTCACTCATGAGGACACAGGTAAGGTCAGAAAGTGGTGCGGAAGTTTTCGCGTGCTTGTATGCATTTCTGTGCGATTGGATTAGGAGAGAGAGAAAAAGAACAAAGAAATTTGACCGGGCTGTAAAAGTACAGGTAACGCAGGCAGGCAGATGTAAGGTGTAAGTCCTGGTTTCACGCAGAGCCGTACCAGGAATTTTTTGCGGGAGGTCTTTATTTGTAGAACGGCTAACTTTTGGCAGCTGGTGGTAGATGTGAACATGTGTAAATACTTTACTCTTACGCGAAAAGTTAAAGCATAAAAAATTTCGGGGTAGACCAAACCTCCTGAAACTTCTCTCCCTCACAATGATTCCGTCTGTACGTGAAACCAGGGCAACATTGATGTGGCCCTGGTTTCTTGTACAGACGGAATCATTAGCTGTGATGTTTATCTGTCAAGCTGGAGAGCATGTGCTTGTTTTGTCGCAGCCTCATTTCAGCGTGGTTAAAATGCTGAAGCGCTCAAAGAGAAAGAACACAAGAAGAGGAAACGCAGGCAGGTTAACCAGACAGGCGTCCGGTTTGCTACCCTGAACCGGGGATAAGGGAATGGAGATTAAGAAGAGAAAGACAGAAGGAAAGTACAAGGAGAGCACGTACGGAGTACATTCAGTCAGTCACTGAGGCCGGAGCTGCTCTGACAAACATGACTTCATCGTTCAGACATGCGACTCAGAAATTGCGGTCTTTGGGAGGGTCGTGGGTGATGCGTGGGGACTAGTGAAACGCTGTAAACACAGGATTGAGATCCTCCAGCAGTTTTAGGACAATTTGGACTTCCGGAGTAATAAGCTCATTCGAAAGCATACATATAGTGTCGTGGAGAAATTGTGGCGTCGCTGGGATGTATGTCCTGGTCTCTTTAGGACAATAAAAAAACAGCTGGTCACAATAATTTCCAAGTTATCGACTGCGGCGTGCCTCGTAACCACATCATGACTTGTCATGGAAGACCCCCCGAGACCGAATTTGTAAAAATATTTGGCAATCGACGATGTGCGAAGAAAGCGAAGGGAAGGTGACCGTGTTGTAATTCTTTTACTGAGCGACACGTTTTGAAATGACGCTAAATATGTGTGCAAGTGTTGCACGCACAGACATATGTTGAACAGTTGCAGGTGTTTATATAACCAGTTGTTCGCACTTGCGCATCGACGCGAACAGAAACACGAGTATTAGCAACACCAGAAGCGGTAAGCAGATATGAAGCGCTAGTGCTCGCGAGAATGGTAGCCCTGGACCCTGCTCATAAATCAACTTCAGTGGATGGCACCTAACCACAGTTGACGTCAACCTGACTTGACAGCTTTATTATAGGCGTAAATATGTAACGTCTATAAAATTGGATATCGCGCTCTGCAACCACAATTCACGCCTCACGAACATTGGTGTCGTTTTGAAAAATAGTTTCGACTGCTGGCATGGCTCTGTGGTAGAATGTTTCATTGCCACGCAGAATGCTGTGGTGGGTAGATATGATGGGGTCCTGACATTTATTCTTTGCAATCTTCGAGTCATCGGTTCCGATGTGAGCTTTTTCCTAACGCTCTCGTGTTAGAATCACCCATGTGTCTTCTCGTCAGTCTTTATTTATTTATTTATTTTAATACTGCCAACTTGCTTTACAAGCCATATGCAGGAGTGGATTGTACACAAAAGAAAATGATGAAACAATCTGTGAGAACGGTTCCAAACAAATCTGTGGAATAAAACTAAAAACAGTGTTGAACAATCTTTTCAGTATGTGAAACAAGAAACAACAGGTTCCAGTAAAACACACACGATAATACAGTTGAAAATACTGGTAAGAAAATACATGGACCACAGGGTGAAAAAATGTTTCAGTTTAGGACAAATAAAATAACTACAAGGGGAAAAAAAGAGAAGAATGTGCAAAAGAGCGCATGTTCACGCAGTAGTCTGCTCGACAACGATAAGAAGGGTGTAATGATTTTTGTTTCAATGTCGCACGCCATCTGGAAAGCGACAGACGCCACAGGAAACATCTCGGTCATAGATGAGCGAGAGCGTGCATAAACGACGACATGGTTGGGCTCTGTAATACATTTTCAGGCAATGCGTTCCATTCATGGATTGTACGAGGGAAGAACGTTTTTTTGAACATGTTGGTTCGGCACGAGTATTCGATTAGCTTGAACGAATGAGATGAACGGGTTGGGCGCCTACTACACGGTTTAATATACAATTCCCTATCTATTTTGACATGTTGTCGATAAATCAGGTATAACATCTTGAGCCTGTCTCGATAGCGTCGTAGCTCTAGAGTTTCGAGGTTCGCGTCCTGTAAAAGAGCACTGACGGATGTATGACGACGGTAAGAATTAAAGATAAATCTGACTGCTTTCCGCTGTATGTTTTCGATTTCGCTTACGTTTGATTGGGTGTAAGGGCCCCAGACAGGAGTAGCGTATTCTAGTAATGGTCTTATGAATGTCTTGTAGGCCAACAATTTTATATTGCTCGTAGATTTAGCCAAGGTTCTTCTCAGGTATCCAAGTTTCTTCATGGCCTTATTTTTAATGTGAGCTACATGGTTACTCCACCTAAGGTCCGACGTGATCACTAAACCGAGGTATTTATATTGCGTGACAGACGATAAGTTATGGCCATTAATGCTGTACACAAAAGGTAATGACTTCTGTTTGCGTGTTATGGTCATCGATACTGTTTTTCTGAGGTTAATGCTCATTTGCCATTCTAAGCACCAAGTAGCTATAACTGATAAAGATGAATTTAGGATAGCCTGATCTGCCTCGCTGTGGATTTCATTGTAGAGTATGCAGTCGTCTGCAAACAACCGAATTTTAACTGGTATGTGTTGCACTATGTCATTAATGAACAGTAGAAAAAACAGGGGACCCAAGACTGATCCCTGTGGTATTCCAGACCGCACATCAGATGAGTCCGACTTTGCGTCGTCGACAACGACTGTTTGCCGCCTGTTTGTCAGATACGCCTCTGTCCATTGAAGTAGCTGGTCGTTTTTGAGAATGGGTTTTAGTTTTAATAGCAACTTTTGATGGGATACACGGTCAAAGGCCTTTTCAAAATCCAAAAATATTATGTCAATTTGACCTTGGCTGTCCAGTGTTGCCGCAATTTCATGTACGGTTTCCAGTAGTTGCGTTACGGTTGACATTCCGCGACGGAAGCCGTGTTGACGTGTGTCGCAGAGGCCATTATTTTCAATGAAGACTGAAATGTGCTTAAATATAATGTGCTCCATCAGTTTCGATGAGGTACAAAGAAGAGAGATAGGGCGGTAGGAGGACAGCAGTGAGCGGTCTTCTGATTTAGGGATGGGAATAATCTTTGCATGCTTCCAGTCGTGTGGTATTTCTGCACGTGAAAGTGATTTGTTGAAAATAATGCACAGATATTTGGCGCACCATTCCGCATATCTCCGGAGGAAAGCATTAGGTATTTCATCGACGCCTGGCGATTTTTTCACGTCAATGCCAAGAAGCAAGGACAGTACTCCCGCTTCGTTTATGTCGAGGGAGCTTATGGGCGGAGTAGCGTCTAGAACAGATATGCGTGGTATCTTGCCATCATCACTCGTGAACACGGAGCAGAAGTACTCGTTCAGTGCATTTGCAATTCTGAGTTTGTCAGTCAACATGATACCATCAACACAAATATCAGACACGTGGGTCTTCTTTGGCGATAGATATCTCCAGAACTTATCCGGGGATGACTCAAGAAAGTTTTTCAGTGATACATTTTGATAGTGATCTTTAGCTTTTAATATGCCGTTTTTAAGCTGTCGGCGCAGGTTGGTTAGCTTATCAGAGTTTGCTTTTGATGGTCGTACCGTATGCTGCTTTCTCACTTTTTTTAATTTTCGCCCAAGACGCACAAGGTTTCTTGTCATCCACGGATTCGTTTCACACACATATTTTCGCTTTTTGGGCACAAAATTGTCGATACAGTTGTGAACAAGTTTTTTAAAGAAGCACCATAAGCTATGAACAGAGCCGTCATGTGATTCCGAAAGACATACAAATTTGGAAAACTCATTATCTAAAGCATCAAGTATGTCGACGTCGCTAGCATGTGAGTACACAGGAATTAAGTGTTGGCTTTTAGATGGTTTTAATCGGAAGTTTAACTCTAACGTAAGAGATGCCATTCTGTGATCTGAAATTCCCTCAAATATGCCGACTCTCGGATTGCGCTTGAGGACGTGGTCGTTTACCAGGAAAAGATCTAATATGTTAAGTGCGCGAGTCGGTTGTTTTACTAGTTGCGTCAGCCCATGAAAAAGAACGATATCGGTTAAAGGTTCTGCTGCTGCGCAAAGAGCATTAGGGAAATCAGTTGACCAGTCAACTGACGGGGCGTTGAAATCACCAGCAAGCAAAATGTTCTTACAATGCGTGCCAGCTGTACACAAAAATTCATTCAAATTGTCAAAAAATATGTCACAGTTTGGTGGGCGGTAAAAACCGGCGATTACGAGATGGAAGTCGTTTAAAAAGACTTTCGCAATGACGCATTCGGTGTCTGCTATGTCAGGGGATCTTTGAACATGCATGGACTCTTGAAACAACAGAGCGACTCCGCCCCCTCGGGAATCTCGGTCCTTCCTATATATTTTGTACCCTGGTGGTGTTATCTCGAAGTCTAAGATACCTGAGTGCAGCCAAGTTTCAGATATTATTACGACATGCGGCTCATGCGCCACTATAATACTTTGCAAGTCGCTAACTTTGTTTACGATGCTGCGAGCGTTCAGATTAATGATGCGGAAGTATTTTTGAGTGACCGAAGAAGTTCACTGTTTCTTCCTAGATTTTTTGTTGGCTGCTAAAACGGGAATTCTTTTCATCTCAGCAGCATCCCAAGCATATGTATCTCCATTTATGATGACTTTGTCGTGTACAAGTTTCACTTTCTCGCCCTTTTTCCTGATATTTGCAGTGCTTTCCCATAAGTACCTCCTGGTCTGCCTAGTTTCTGGTGAAAAGTCTTCGGCAACTGAGATATCTTTTCCCTTCAGTTTAGAGCAGTTTCTGAGTACATTAATTTTTTCACGGTGATCAATTAACCGGAGCACTACCGGTCTGTTTTTGTTTCGCCTCTTTTGTCCTATTCGGTGAATTCTTTCGACTGTTGACACCTTTACACCGAGCATGTTTTCAAATATTTCAGAAACCACCGAATTTGTTAGTGACTGGAATGTTTCATCAGGACGTTCCGGTAAACCGAACACAAGAAGATTATTGCGTCTGCTCCTGTCTTCGAGGTCGATCAGTTTGGTTTGTATGGTCTGGATAGTTGCCTCAAGGCTGGAAATTTTGCTTGTGAGTTCTGTAAATGCTGCTGTCGAATTTTCGACCTTGGATTCAATAGTGTCAAGCCTTGCTTGCATGGTTTTTTGACCATCAAGGATTTGGCGCAAAAGCTCCTCTGTGTTCGGCCCAGGGTTCGATTCCACATCACCACACATTATCAGCAATGAGCATACAACATCTTGAACAAAAAAGTACAACTTATTCAGACATGTGGGGCACGTCAGCTAGATGAAACAACGGTTGCTAGTTTTGACAATGGAGTAATTTTTACTAACCTGCATGAAATACAGGAAGGGGTTCATGTTTGCTGGGGAGCAGCCGACGTGCCCACTGAAGAAATTGCAGCTCGGTCCGTCTCTTATAGTCTCTTATAGTGGGTAGATACTTAGCGTGAATCACTTGCGACGCTCCGCCGCGGTGGTCTATGGTGGATAAAGTACTCGGCTGCTGACCCGCACGTCGTGTAATTGAATCCCGGCTGTGGCCGCTACATTTTCGATGGAGGCGAAAATTTTGTAGGCCCGTGTGCTCAGATTTAAGTGCACGTTAGAGAACCCTGGGTGGTCGAAATTTTCGGAGCCCTCGACAACGGCGTCTCTCATATTCATATGACGGTTTTGGGACCTTAAGCGCAACATATCAATTAACCATTTGTTTCTCATACCCGCATACCAGTTGCATATACCCGCCCGTGGGTATATGGCACTCTTTGGCTGAAAGTGTTTACGATGTACGTGACGGGATTGTGGCATTCATCATCATCATCATCAGCCTGACTACGTCCACTGCATGACAAAGGCCTCTCCCATGTTCCGCCAGTTAACCCGGTCCTGTGCTTGCTGCTGCCAATTTACACCCGCAAACTTCTTAATCTCATCTGCCCACCTAACCTTCTGTCTCCCCCT